GTCGAGTGCCCCTGAGTTGAATCCCTGGTACCTCTCCCAAGCCCAAAAAAGAAAAAGAAAAGTAATTGATATATTTTGAGATTTCTGGCCATGAGAAATTTTATATCAATACACTCAAGAAATGCTCACATCAAGCCTATAAAGTTGATGCTTTTATTTTGTATTTTAGCATAGTGGTGATGGGTGGTTAGGGAACCTGCCCAAAGTCTCAAAGCTGGTAATTTAGAAAGCAGTATGCTTTATAACTGTGTTAGCTGATTAATGAGTATATACTATGCATAATGCTGTAGACCATAACAATGTCCGCTTCCAAAAAAATAAAGGAATTAAGAGAAGGAGACTAGAAAGACAACAGTTTTGTAACGATTAAGTGGTAAATCATTTCACCCAGTCCTTGGCACATGGTAAATTCTCAGCAAACGTTAACAAATATGTTTGTTCCAGCATAAACTCTTTGAGAACTTTCTTTGAGGAGAATATTAATGATCCATCATGTCTTCCTTGTGAGATGTGAAGTTATTGACTTATTGCTGCTGGGCTTGGCATGTGGAGCCCTGTCTCTGTTTATTAATGTGATGAGGTTGCTTGTGGGGAGGCCTCCCCACTGTGTGGTGGCAGTAATTATCAGTATTGCTGTGTGGCTGCAGGAACCCCTTGCTACCAAGTGCTGGTTTCTTTCTTTCTTAAAAAAAAAAAAAAATCCCATTACATAATTTAACAATCATTTTGTTCCACTGTGAGATGAAAAGAATTCAGCAGCCTTCAGCTGGAGCTGAATGGAGAAGCAAATTATAGAAATCACTGACATTAGTGCCTGGCTAGAGTAGAATTGTTTCCTACTGAAGACTTGAAAGTATTTTGTCCAATCTAATTTTGAAAGACTAGAGTCACTGGGCTTCCACTGCTTTCCCTGGGAACTACAATTATGTGGCCTAATGCAGCACAGTCCCAGGACAGTGTCTCCAGCTGATCCCGGAGCAGTGGACACAGTCATGGGAGGTCTGGTCGCTTGGTTTTTTCAAAATGAGATTGAAAGAAAAGGCACAAGTGTTTTGTTCACTTGAGAAAATATTTCTTTCCATTCTCCACAAGGACGTTTCTTTGGACTGTTCTGCTGGCATTGAATTGTAGTCAGCTACATAATGGTTTTTGTTGAACTTGGTTTTATGGAGGATCCCCCCCAAAATCACATATCTAGAGCAGTGTGATGAACACTTTTCCACCAGTGGCTAATCCCACTCTATCTACAAATTCATCAAATTCCCCCTCTTCTAGGATTAATTTGAAACATATTTATAATTTTTTTAAAAAATTCTGATAAAATACACATGACACCATATTTACCTAAATTTTAATCATTTTGAAGTGTACAATTCAGTGGCATTCAGTATATTCACAATGTGGAACAATCCATTATTATTATTTGGTTCCAAAATTTTCCATCATCCTAAAAGAAAACTGTATTCATTAATCAGTCACTCCTGTTTTCCCCACCCAGTACCTGGAAGCCACTAATCTGCTCTCTCTCTTCATGGATTTGCCTATTTTGGATATTTCATATAAATGGAATATATATATATATATATATATATATATATATATATATATATATATTCTTTTTCTGGCTGCTTTCACTTTCACTTAGCATAATGTTTTCTTGATTCATCCATGATGTATCCTCTATCGAGACTTCATCCATTACATGGATATACCACTTTTTGTTTGTTCATCTGTTGATGGATATTTTGGTTATTTCCAACTTTTATCTATTGTGAATAGCACTACTTTGGACATTCTTATTCAGGTTTTTTAAAAACATCTGTTTTCAGTGTTTGGGGTATACATCTAGAAGTAGAATTACTGAGTTCTTTATATCAATTCTGTGTTCATCTCATTGAGGGTCTCATGAACTGCTGGCCACAGTGACTACACCATGTTACAGTGCCTTCAGCAATGGATGAAGATTCTGATTTCCCTACATTTTTAAAAATCATAGTCATCCTCATGGGTATAAAGTGACACTTCCCTATGGTTTTAATGTGTATTTTCCTAATGACCAATGATGTTCAACAGCTTTTCATGTGATTATTAGCCATTTTTTGGTTATCCTTCTTTAGAGAGATGTTAAGTCTTTTGCCCATTAAATTGAATTTCTTTTCTTCTCATTGTTGAGTTGTAAATGTTCTTTATATATTCTGGATACTAGGCCCTTGCAGGTAAACAATTTGTAAATATATTTATATTCTATCAGTTATCCCTTCACTTTCTTAATAAAGTGCCCTTTAATGCACAATAGTGTATAATTTTGATGAAATCAATATTTTTTTTCTTTTGTCACTAGTGAATTGTTGCAATGTCTAAGAAACCATTGAAAGGTTTCAAGAAGAGTCATTGAAAGGATTCAAGAAGAAAGGTCCCTGAGAATTTTTTTTTCTCTTAAAAGTTTAATAGTTTTAGCTCTTACATTTAGGTCTCTAATGCTAAAAAMAAACAAACAATCAAAAATTTAGGTCTTTGATTATTTTTGAGTTAACATTTTTGCATATGGTGGGAGGTAAAGGTCGAACACCATTGTTCTACATGTGGATATCCAGTTGAGTTGTCCCACCATCATTTGTAGAAGAAACTGTGATACACTTTTATCCATAAGTATGTCTGCATATTTCTTTAAAAGATAAGAACATTTTTTTACTAACCACAGAACCATTATCACACTTCTAAAAATGCTAATCTTATTTCCTTAGCATCATCAACTATCTAAGTCAGTACGAAAAGTTGTAACAGTCTCAAAAATATTTTAGCTTTTTTTTTAAGAAATTTAGTAATTTCTTTATATTTATGTATCTGTTTTAGTGTCCAAATAAGATGTATCCATTGCAATTTGTTGATTTATTTTTTAAATTGAAAAAATTTTTTGTAGTTGTAGATGGACAGCATGCATTTATTTGTTTATTTTTATGTGATGCTAGGGATCAAACCCAGTACCTCATGCGTGCTAGGCAAGTGCTCTGCCACGGAGAGACAGCCCCAGCCCCTGTTGATTTACTTTAAAAAACATTTTATATCTATAGGTTTCCCTTCCATCTCTCTTTTCTTTCCCTTTGCAACTCATTTGGTGAAGAAACAATTTGTCTAGACAAGTTTCCTAGTCTAGACTTAGCTGATTTCCTGTAAGTTGTGGGTGGAAAGAACTAGAGGCTCGAACAGATTCAGGTTTTTGTTTTTTTGTTTTTGGCAACACTACCTCTTAGGTGATGCTTTGCTCTTCTATCGAGAAGCAAATCTTAAGTTATTTCTTACTTGTTTATGTTAGCAACAACTGATAATCATTACCTAAGTCTGTTCATTAGGAGGTACAAATCATGACATTGTAGTTCTATTATGTCCTCATCATTTGTTAAATGAAATATCTGCTTTCATGAATAGAAGTTTTCCATGTTTTATTATTTAGCTATCCAGTGGTAAAATTAGTGTAAGAAAGAATACATTTCTGTCACTAAAAGTAAATCTTACAGTTAAAGAAAAACAAAGAATAAACCAGAACCCTCCCCCCACTTTAACTAGTTCTCAAAAGAATAAGTTGGTTTGTTATTTTCTGCTAATATTGCCAATTTTGTTCTTGGGAGGTTACTTTATTAACACATTTAATTAAGCATATTTAATGTGTTTCTAGACATTGCCAGTATTGTTCTAGTCAATGACTAGAGTCCTTTTTGACATGAATCTTTGGTCTTTGATAGCTTCCCTTACATATGGGAAATTTGTCACTTATTCTGGTTGGAATGTAGTCTGTTGTAGCACCTCCCTGTAAAAGCTTCTTGTAAGCCTTGAAACTTCTGCTCCTCCTTTGGAGAAGATGGGTGGGTTCCATTTTTATAAGGAACCCAGGCTTTTTGAAATCATAAGTCAAGTCAGACCAGGCATTGGAAACTCACTCATGGAACTCATTTCGTAACTTTTTATTGAGTTTCTATTAGACACACAGACAAAAAGAAAACTGGATTCCTGCCTGCAGATTTTGCATCCTGGTGGGTATCTTTTAGGATCTAGTGACACAGTGCTGATATCAGACATACACATTTGCACAAAGCCAAAACCATCAATGTGATTTTACCATCTACCTGTTTTAGTTCTTTCTCTACTGTCAAGTCAGGGATTGATTACAAATTATTCTGAATTACTTTTATATAATTACCAAAAGCAATATAAATACCTAAGAAGATGACTTTGTTGAGAAATGCATTTGAAGGCAAAAAGATACAAATGGATATTTCCTTTCTAAGCCTAGAAAATGGATGTAAAAGCATGTAGACTCCTGTTCCTCTTCTAGGCACTACTTTGCTGTTAAGTAAGGGCAATGTTTATTTTCTGCCTATTTTATAAAGTTGCTGAGTGCCGTAATGAGTTTATATTTATAGAGTGCTTGGAGCTTTTTGGATGAAAGGTGCTAAATTAGAGTTTATTGTTTATTGAATTTATTTGATGTGTCCAACCTCCTGGGAACATTTACCGAAGTTAATTAAAAACAGATCGTCCCCACTCTGACAGCTTACAGTGCCAGTTACAAACCAATAACATAAACAATGTGCACTTCTGTTGTCCTGACTTGGCACTGACTGCAGAACCATAGGTCTTCAGACAGGGGAATGGTCCTGCTTTTGTAGGAGAGATGCATTCTTGTACTGGGGAGAAAGTACAGATAATCTCAACCGATTCTGAGCCACCTACCTGACCCCAGTTAAAAAAAAAAAAAAGCAATTTAGAATATGGATATTTCCCTCAATTTCCAACTGTTAACTTATAGGTTGAAAAATTTAAAAACAATCWTTCTATCACTGTAGTATGACATTAAGATAAGCACTTCTGTTTTAGCCTCACATTTTCTTTGCAGGTTTGGCATTCCCAAACAGCCAACTAGAATACCATCTGCTTTCTTCACCCGACTTGGTAGACGCTGTGAAGTGTAACAATAACAATGGCTCGTTTGCTTCCTTTGCCAGTTGGTGATGGAGTTTTGTGGCGCTGGCTCTGTCACTGACCTGATCAAGAACACGAAAGGTAACACACTGAAAGAAGAATGGATCGCATACATCTGCAGGGAGATCTTGCGGGTAGGTGACAAATGGGGACCAACCTATTTCCCAAAGTCATCAAGCAAAACAGGGTATGTTGGGGGGTGCTGTGGTGCTGTGGCCTTCTAGTGTGCTTCACAAGTGTGCCATCTCTGCCTCCCTCCTTGAAGGTTACTCTAACTGCTGGTGGTGATGGTGGTTGGGCACTCAGTTCTGCTCTGATGGGCCTGCGCCATTTTCCTAGGTCATATGCACTGTCATTTGGAGGTTGACATCAGGTGATTTCCTTTAGCCAAGGATTCACTTCCAATGATATATCTAATTAGAAATCTGATTTTTTTTTTATCTTAAAGGTAGTGTAGTATAAAGATAGATTTAGGAAATGGGTTGTTTTAAGATGGGTCATTTGAGGTAATCCATTTGTATTAATATGGTGATACCTTCCCTGCAATTAAAGTGTTTCAGGATTATGTGATTTTAGTAATTTCTTTACATAGAAGCTAGTTTAACTAATTTTACTTTTAAAAGACTCTTTGAGGCCTAATTACTTAAAGTAATCAAAAGAGCTAGATAAGACTGTGCTTGTTCTACCAGTTTTACCCACAAATCTCATCATCAGGAGGTAAAGACAATCCTGTCATATTTACTGCACTCAGTTTGGGGAGAAGAAGGTAATTGGGTGCATTGTAGTTCACTCAGACTAGTTTRATTTTTCTCTTGCTGCTAATACAGAGCTGATTATAGGTCTATAGAGCATTCTTGCTAGATTCGCCTGATGATCATCATTTATTTATAAGCTCAGTCTTCTTAATTTAAGGGAACAAAAGTTAAAATTGTTGTTCACTACATGTCCAAGATATGCCTTTGAGAGACAGATTACATGCTGCAAATGGATGAATCAGTGGATGAGCATTAAAAAGGAAGGAAGATGTAAATAGATACTGACCGGGCCTTAAATGCAAACCAAATTAAGCAAAATACAAATAGAAATAAAAATTTAAAATGATAGCATTGACAGTAGTATAAAAAGTCAAATATCTAAAACTATACAGAAAGAAGTGAATGGCATTTACTCTAAAAATGACACAAAGTTCCTGAGAGAGATTTATAAAGACCTTAATAATTGGAGTTGTATGCCATTTAATGGATCAGAGACTCAGTGTGGTAAAGATGTCATTTCTCCCCAGTTTTATCCATTTCTTTTGAACTCCCAATCAAAATTCCTGTAGGTATATTTGTGCACAGTGATGATCTGATTTTTAAAAATTATATGGAAATGTCACCAAAGCAATCCTAAAGAAGAAAAACTAAAGTGGAAGACTTATACCCTCAGTTATCAGGATTTCTTTAAAAAACTAGTAAGTAATTAAAACAGAGTGGTATTGTCGTAGACTAGACAGGGACCAAAGGAACAGACTCAAGGCCCCTTGAACAGCCAGGCATGATGGTGCACCCCTGTAATCCCAGCAACTCAGGAGGCTGAGGCAGGAGGATCACAAGGTCAAGGACAGCTTCAGCAACTTAGCAAAACTCTGTCTCAAAATAAAAAATAAAAAAGTTCTGGGGGTGTAGCTCAGTGGTTAGGCAACCCTGGGTTTAATCCCTATTACCAAAAGGGGAGGGAAAAAAAAAAGTCTCTGAACAGACCTGTATCACATGAACACCGTGTTTATGGCAAAACTAATGTTGTTATGGATTAAAAAAAATGCTCTTATGAGCAAAAGTTGATGACTCATATGTAAACATGAGATTGATACCTGCTTTATGCCATATTTAAAAACTTAAAATAGGTGAAAGTTTGTATCATCCCTTGTTTTAAAATTTGTGAAAATAGTGGTTTTTCTTCTTCTTTCCAATACCTTCTCCCAAATGATACCAGGATTTGACATAAGGTAACTCCTTGGTAGGAATAGTTGATCACCTGGAAGTGATCAGAAGAATTATCAGAACTGATCCTCCCTATATTGTATGATCCCATTCAGTACAGGCTTTGGCTCACTTGTATGCACTTGGTGTCTGCTTCTGAACACTCATAGGGTAGAGGAGGGAGGGGGATCCTCAGTCCTTCTCTTGAGGATTTATGGGTTGTTCATAGACTGTAAAACTATGCATTTAAATCTGTTTGATGCCCACCTTGAGCCAAACTGACTAGATAAAAAAGGTAGTTTTTTACCTAGACCGGTGCCTCAAACTGTCTTGTTGCATGATTTATGTTTACTAATATCCTAAGTGTACATGTGAATATTTCTTGGACATCTGTACTCTAGTGCTGAATCTCATTTCTTCAACTAGGAAATTCAGATAGTGAGTGTGYGCATGCACATACCTTTTATTCTATTTTGTGTTTGTAGCCAACAATTAAAAGAAGAAAATCATAAATAATAAAAGACACTTGGATACACAGTTCTTTGAACTAATAATGGTAGAATATAGCATGCTTTCCTTCAAGGCTCTAATTTTAGCTTCTTTTAGATTATAATTTATCTGAAAAATATGTGACAACCTTAGAGTAAATCTGTAGCTTATAGAACTCACAGCGCAAAAAAGCCAAAATCAGAGTAATTCATGGAAATATGGTACATCATCAAGTGTGGATGTCACAGAATGATTGTCTCATATAATGAGCACAAAGTCACCAAAGTCATAAAGCACTAAAAATGACAGTGACAAAATGCCCACTGAGTGAATAGAGATGGTTTTCTTTTTTAATGTGAACCACATTGGCTAAAACCAGTGGGAAAGTTCTTGGCTGTCCTTAGAAATATTTTATTGTGTTCAGTTATAAAATTGTAAAACTCAAGGTAACTTTTAACTTTTCAATTCAAGTATTGCTTCCTCCACGTGAAGATTTAGTTAAATCAGGGTGGTCTTCTGTGCAAAGAGTGTTGATGTGTCTCATGCAAATTAGCACATCGAGGCAGCCCTCGCTTCTCATGGTACCGTGTTAACTGAAACTCATGCGCGTGGGAATCTAACCATGCCATCCAGAGTGTGCTCTGGTGGTCTCTAGTGTCAGATCCAATATGCAGGGATTTGTTTAACACAGTGCCATGAATTGCAAAGATAACCAATAAATGCCCATTTATATTGATCAATAGCCTACTGTTGAGAACAACACTATGAGTATGTCAAAGATGTGAATGTCATTCTGTAAAAGTATCTCTGAGTGAGTTTAATTTGGGGAGAATCATTCAAAATAGGTTGTTTTCATCTTGGCTTATCCTGCTATTAACTCTCCCACCTTTTCATTCCTGCAGGGGCTGAGTCACCTGCACCAGCATAAAGTGATTCATCGAGATATTAAAGGGCAGAATGTCTTGCTGACTGAAAATGCGGAAGTTAAACTAGGTGAGAACAGAGTCCTGTGAGCTGAGGGACTGCTAGAATTGTTAAAATGATCTCAACAGCTCTTTCTTTAAATTAATGTATATTCGTTACTCATGGGTTTGGGGGCCATTGCCCTAAAAGTGGAAAAAAATGTTTTTTCTGTTTCAAAGATATTTTCTAAAAGCATTTTGAGGAATAAGTTGTAAATGCTATGATGAACAGAAGAAACTTGTGCTTAATCAATGTGTAGAAATATTTGGGATTTTTTTTTCAGTAAAGATTAGAAGCGATAGACCTTAAAATCATCTCCTGCATCTCACATTTTTTTATATGTTTGCTGTTATGACAGAACACTGATGACCCAATTTTTCATTGAAAATATTCATAGTTAGGCATATTTAAAATAAGCAAATTCGCTGTGTTCCCATATRTTTAAGTTATGTGTATATTGATTTTATGATTACCTAGGCCACCTGTAAAAAATGGGTGCTTGGTAGTCTGCTTTAGGTGCATAATGATTACTCTCCTACATGTGCCGGTTGCCAGTGGGGGATCCCTTTCTTTGGCATATCTATTAGAGCCCTTCCCACAGCAGGTCTGGGGTTCTCTAGATGAGKTGCAGAACCCCCATGTGCATTTGCCTGCTTGAGTAAAAGTGTAAACTGACCAATATCCTGTAGGATTCATGACTCATCATCTAGAAAAGGATGACTGTCCATAGGTTGTTTATTTTCATTGAGATTTAAATATTTGCTCTTTTTGTTAAAAATATATAAATTCCTCTTATTGTATTTGGAGCTAAACTTTCATCTCATGAATATTCCRTTTTAAAAAATCAAAGCATACATTTTATAGGCTAAGCAGTCACATATGTGCAGACTAGATGAGCTGTTGAAAGATTTGGTCATCCCTGTTTAACAGTTACTTGTTGAGAGTATAGCAGTGCCATGTCCCTTACAGGGCACTTAGATGATCTCATGTAAACATTAGAGCACTGTATGTAGGTGACATCATCCTCATTTCATAAGTTAGGAAGCCCAAGCTCAAAGAGGTTGATCCACTCATCCTAGGTCACAACACTAGTAAGTGGCAGAAACAGGATGCGAACTTTGGCCTCTGACTCCAGCCCTCAGCCCTTAATCACTTTTTTTGTACTACCCTTTATGGCAACCAAGCTTGCCTTTTATTGAACACCTGTTTTTGGTCATTATGGAGTCTTGGTGTAACCAAATATAACACTTGGTGTTTTTTCATTGTACACTCCATGCATTTATCATGAAGCTGAAAATATATATGTTCACAGTATGGAATAGGCAGAAGCCACCCCAGTGTTCATTGAAATGACAAGACAAACAAAATGTGGTGTATATACACACACACACACACACACACACACACACACACACACACACAGTGGAATGTTATTCAGCATTACCAAGGAAGGGATTCTGGTACACGATACAACATGGGTGACCTTTGCGGACATTATGCTGAGTAAAATAAGCCATACCAAAAGAAAAACACTATATGATTCCATGCATCTGAGCAGTCAATTTAGAGAGACAGAAAGTGGGAGGTTGCCAGGGCTTGGGAGAAGGCAGTAGGGCAGTTCTTGCTTAATGGCTCAGAGCCTCAGTTAGGGAAGATGAAAATTTTTGGTGGTGATGGTTGCACAAGTGTTAATGGACTTAGTTCCACAGATGAAAAATGGTTAAAATGGTAAATTTTTACATCTTGCCATGTTAAAAACCACACATCCATTTTCCCATGTTAAACCTGAGATCGTGGAATAAATAGTAATTTGGCTGTTTTCTCTTCATTAGTGGACTTTGGAGTCAGTGCCCAGCTTGACCGAACAGTGGGCAGGAGGAACACTTTCATTGGGACCCCCTACTGGATGGCACCAGAAGTCATTGCCTGCGACGAAAACCCAGATGCCACATATGATTTCAAGGTATGACTTCTTCTTTGTGTTTTAAAACTACACCTAAATTCATCCTGAGTCTTGAAGTGGAAGAATTCTCTTGTGCTTTCAGATTTGGGATTTATGTGACCCAATGGGAGAACTGGAGAAAAAAAGGACATTTTGTGAGAATCTTTATAATGAATCCACCTCACATGCCTATTTAAAAAAAATTTCTTTAAAAGTTTGAATCATATTCTATGTTCTTTTTCTTGGAAAATAGGTTGGATTTCCATTTTGATTATTGTCTAGATTTTTGGCAAAGTACATATTCTCTTCTTTGTCCAGTTCATTTACTATTTCTTTTTTTACCATTTTGATTATTGTCTAGATTTTTGGCAAAGTACATATTCTCTGACAGTTCATTTATTAGTTCTTGTTTTTAAATTTATTATTTTACATATTAACAGGGTACCATGTGATATTTTGAAACATGTATACATTGCCTGTTGTTTAAATCAAGTTAAACATATTTCTCTACGCGAACTTTAATAATTTCTTTAAGCTGAAAAATTTCAAAATCTTTTTTTCTAGCTTTTAAAAGCTACAGTACACTATCATTCTAGTCACCCCACTGTACACTGATAACACAAAATAACTTTTTGCTTCTAGGTAACTATAATTTGGTCCCCACTGATCATCCTTTACCTATTCCTTCCACTCCCAAGTACATATTCTGATAGCTTTTAATAATACAAGAAGCCAAGATATGCATGTGTTATCTTGGGTCATCTTTTTCTGAAAAGAATAATCAGACTTCCTCATTTCTGTATTGTTCAGAGTCTAATTATTCAGGTCTCTTTTCTGTGAGAACAAAATGAGATGTTGATCACTACTCTATGGTGATTTTTCCAGAAATTTGATTYGCAGCTTATCACTTTGTATTTTAAGCTGGAGATTTTCTAATAAATTCAAAGCCATGTTCAAATAGAGGTCTCCAAGAAGCCTTCCCCCATCTCTTCCACAAGCCAACCACCGAACATGAATTTGGGTTGCTKCCCCACTGCTAGCTCAAGTGTCCATTGACATTGTTTTTTCCTGGCTAAGAACAGATACCATAGAACTGGGTGCAGTGATGTGTAGGTAGGAACAGTGGGTTTTCAGGCTGAGCACTAGGTAGAGAGACACCCTGTGGACAAAACKTGGTACTGCCTGGTTTTAGAGGTTCACGTTCCTTCCCAAAATGACTGGCTTTTTTTGCAAGTGCTTACTCAGTTAGTGATCTTCTCTGCATTGGGTCTTGAACCCAGGTCTCCCAACTTTCTGAAGATAGCTCTGTTCCTCCATAACTTACTTCAGCGTAAGCCTCCAGTTTACCAAAAGAAGAGTATATTTGACAAAATCCTGTTTTAAAGACCATTTAGTTCTTCACATGTGGGATTATTATTGAAATCAGGCCACAACGATGCAAACCTTGCAGTGTCTTTGGGATCCAATATTTCAGGGCATTGACAAAATTACTTGCTTCCCTGGGGAAATGCAAGCTTGAAGGTCTGAAAACCTAATCTCCTGTAAATATGCTCCTTCCTCTAAAGTTAGTCACTGCCATAACCTGACAACAATCTGAAAACAGCTGCCAAGTTAAAAATGAATCTCCTGCCAAAATGAATGACATTTATTTAAACTGCTAATGATAAACATGTTTAAGTAATTCCATTTGCAAATCTCTTCAGAGGAGCCACCACAAAATATATGTCCCAGGCTAGACATGTATGTCATACTGGCCATGAGCAATTCTTCATACTTTAGTTATATTTTACAGTTGCTAACTATTCTAAGTCTGGGACATGGATGTTTTAGATGACCTGAACATATACCAGGAGGAATCAGTGTTTTGGGACTTAYCTCAAACTTAAACCTTTTTTGTATTATGACAGATGCATTATATGTGGGACTTCGCCTCTGTGGCACAGAGTAGATCCCTCTGATAGATTCTATTGAGAGGCATAACTAGAAAAGACCTTTCTTCTTTCCAAGCCAAAGCTTGGAATTAAAATCATTTCTTGGAGGCTTGGATTGTAGCTCAGTGGTAGAGCACTTGCCTAGCATGTGCGAGGCACTGGTTTTCGATTCTCAGCACCGCATATAAATAAATTAAATAACGGTCCATCAATAACTAAAAACAAATTTAAAAAATAATATCATGGGGCTGAGGATATAGTTCAGTTGGTAGAGTGCTTGCTGCTCATGCACAAGGCCCTGGGTTCAATCCCCAGCACCACACACACACACACATACACACACCAAAAAAAAAAAAAAAAAGAATCCCTACAGAACAGGTTCCTCTCCATCAGTCATTTAGACCTTCTTCTGAATTAGTTTATCAGGCTCATCATGAGTGTAGGCTGTTTGAAAGGAAGAAAAACTCATGGCAATAATATGGGCTTCACTGGTCACCTGTCACGGGTACAAAAGAAGGCGCATGACCGAAGGGTGAATCAGGAAAATTGGGCAGAAATGACGATTTTGGGGGTTCTTTGAAGATTTATTTCAATCACTTCACAGTTTCACTATAGGCCAGAGAAGATGCTAATCTTTAAAAAAAAAAAAAAGCAAACTTCCTTCTTTATTGCCACTATATCTTACCCTTTTTATTTTCTGTCCAGATTCTCTTAGGAATGTGGTCTGTCACCAGGGGACAACTTGACAATAACACCCCATGTGCCTTAGTGAATACCCACTGTGTGCACGGAGTTGGCCAGGCTCTATCTGTGGCAGCGGTTGGGTTGCTGACTGGAGTTCATTTGAGACCCCRTCAGAGATTTGGTCCTGTGTGTTTGATGTTCCATTGACCAGCAGGGTCTCCCAGGCTCAGCATCTGGTGTCAACACTAGGGGCTGTCACACGTGATAGATGCTTTCAGCCAAGATGACATGTTTAGAATAAAAGATGACTTGAGGGCCAGTGGATATTTCTAAATTTCCTGCCATGAGATCCCTTGCTTTAAAATAAAGGCAAAATGTAAGCCAGGACAGGATAGTTTTGATTTTGTTGATTATTGATATTATTGATTCTTATTTGACTTAAGATGTCTTTAAAAACGGTTTCAAGTTTTTGTTTGTTGTCTGATTTTTAAAACTGAAGCCATTCAGCGTTAGGAGGGCCTCTGTAGGAAAGTAGTCTGAGAGCTCATGGCTTTTATTGCAGGCTGGGTTTGTGGGTTATCTACTGGGCTCAGTAAGTCACTCTCTGCAATAGAGTCTCCTCAGGAGGAGTGGCAGAATCTCATTCGCCTGGTGTGTTGGCTTCCCCTGGAGGCCCTGCCTTTCTTGTTTTCAGAAATTCTGTCAAAACACTTCAAGCGAAAGGAAAGGTTTCATTTCCCTGATAAGTATGCGGGGCAATAATGAAAGCTTTCCCATTTAATAATAAGCATTCAAAAGATGTGAAATTAATAAAACTACTCAAAATTCCTAGGCTGTTTAAACTGTTATATTTTTAAAACTTACTCTGAATTTTATTTCAGTTGGATGGAATCTGCCAAGCATTTTATCGTCCTGTGTACTTATTACTGTTAATAGAACCACCCACTAAAGAAAGTTCTCTGTGGCCAAATGCCCATCAATGGGAAGCAGGTTGAACAGAGACCACAGCATCTGTCCAGTAGAATATTACATAGCTATTTTGGCAAAGGGGTACAGATGTGTTGGATCCAAAGAGACCCCAAGATAGCCTGTAAGTGTAGAGTATGGAATAGAACTATCTCATAACATCGACTTACTCTACCCCAATGCCTTGGAGAGAGACACATGAGAAATCTAGAAGGAATCTGGAATATCCCAAGAGTGTTTTACCTCTGAACAGGGCATGTGGATGGTGAACTTAAAATTCTTATTTTCTGTCTCCTCTTGTCCTGTTTTAATGTTTTTGCCATTAGCAGGCCTTGTACTCATATTAAATGAGTGAAGAGAAATGAAGTGGATGGCCAGTCTTCCCGCCCCATACCTGCTAGGCTCTTATACCCCAGACCAGATCTGTGCCAACACTGTGTGCTATTCACCTACACTCTGTTTACGAGAGTTTTCACACAAGTGCTGTGGATTATTTGTAAGCCTAGGGGTCTCCTCTGGTATTTGGGTGAATATTGTGTTCAGGCTGTGGAGAAACTGCTCAATTCATTATCCCACGTCCCAGGTATTGGCTTAATAAGCAGGGTAGAAATAGTGCTTCTAAGAGGCTCAGCCAGAGATGACATAAACAACTGCCTGATAGGAGAGTCACGGTGATGAAGGTGTCACCCAAGAGGACAATATTCAGGCTACAAAATGGTACAGTTATACTTTCATAGGAGTCCAGGCCTCTGTCTGCTGAAATCCAAACAGGGATTCTTCCCTATTTGCTCAAAAGGAAGATGATACAGCTGGGTACGTGGGTATATGCCTGTGTCCCAGCAACTAGGAGGCTGAGGCAGGAGGATGGCAAGTTCAAGGCTAGCCTCAGCAACGTATCAGCAAGACCCTCAACAACTTAGTAAGACTCTGTCTCTAAATAAATAAACAAATAAACAAATAAAGGCTCAAGATGTAGTTCAGTGGTAAAGTGCCTTGGGTTCAATCCCCAGTGCAAAAAAAAGAAAAAAAAAAGGTGGGGGCGGGGAGATGGTACCAACAACCATGTTAGTGCCACTAGCAGGAAACTGACACCTGTTATACATGTTCATAAATGTCCATGTTCACACACACCTAGATAGGACTCCTCAGTCAGGCCCAGCACCTCCTCCAGGTAACACACACATCTCAGTAGTTTTCCTTTGGTCCAATAACGTGATAATGGATGGGGACTGCAGAAAGGTATTTCTTCAGTTTATGTTTAAACAGGATTTTTAATACCTACCTCTCTTGGGAATATCACCAGTGACCCTGAACTCACCACCTTAGTTCTGTTTATATATAATGTAGTAAGTGTGTGACATAATGAATAAGTGAGTCTTTGGAAGTCAGACAAAACAGGTTTAAACCATATATTTGCCTCCTATTTGCTGTATTGGCTCA